GACATGGAAAACTTCAGTCTTAAAACAGACTACAAAAATAAATGCTGGAAAAGGTTATTAAATTGCAGCATACCTTGAATATTGAAGGGTGAAAAACCAAAACAACAGCCTGGGTAATTAGAAGTTGGACAATTTCATAGTATCCCTACCACAAAACGACTAATGTGAGATGAAGAGTTCATTCTTCCTCACTATGGAGCCATCCTGAAGTGACAGTTTGTAAAATAAAATTAGTTTCTTTTGGCCCAGTGACAACACTGAGATTTTTTGGTATGGCACTATGAGTTGAATACTGCTGAAGAAGAGAAGTACTCCCATATCCACAATGAACAATACTAGAAATCACGCTGCTCTGGAAAGGCACTATTTGAACCAGGGAGGACAAAAAAACCTACATACTATTTCTAGTTTAAATTATTTCCTATTAAATGGAAATTGTTATTTGAAATGTCTCTGTGGATTTGGGTTAATCTGGGGGGAACACGTGTGGCTGTGAGAGTATGGCTATAACATGACATAACCTGTTGTGTCACAAGCATCTTATTTCATTAACGAAGTTGAAGGGGAAGCAAACAAACAGACAGAACATATGAAAATTAAAAATAATAGGGATTAGGAGGGTTGCCAACGCTACTTGGGACAGAGAAATGGAAGGATACAGACATTAAAATAGTCTTTGGAAATAAAATGGAATTTGAAGAAAAACTCACACTGAATTCTAAGGAGAAACGTGGGAAACAGCAACAGTGAAAGATGCCTTAGGGAACTGGGAAAAGCCAGGTGATAGAAAATCTACAGTTGGTAATGATTATAAAAATACTGGTGCAGTTTTGAACCGAATATACAAAGAATTTCTATCACAGCAGAATAGAGACTTTCTTCTCTCCAAACAGGGCTTTTGTGTGGCTAGGTTTGGAGTATTTTGCTCATTCTGAGCATGCTTTTTTTCAGAAAAATACTGACAAATAGGAGGGAGTTCCAGAGAACAACGATTTCTTTTCATGAACTACAGAACTTTGATGAAAGAATAAACAAATATGCATATATTGTCAGATTAAATTAAAAGAAGTGTGTTTCTAAATACATTTAAAACCAGTCTATAAATATTGAAGAATATAATTAGCAAGAACCAAAAGGAGCATTCATAATTTTTCCAGAGCATTGGAAAAGGAAGAAGACTGCAAGGAAACATCTGTCTGGTTTTACATGATGGAAGAGAGCTCTTCTATGCTTCTTCTAAAGTCTTATCTTAAAATTTCAGGGCTGACAATTATCTGCAGTGTGGCTGAACTATTTGTGAATACACATAGCAACACAGCTCAAGGATGTCTAGCATCATTTGAGGTACAATAAGCTGACTTCTATTGGTATTATCTAAGTACATAAAGTTAGTCTTGTAGCAGGGCAAACAAGACTTGCGAGCCACACTAGAGATGAAGGATAAGAAAACAGCTCAAAGACTTTGTTAGGGGGCAGAAAAGTGAATTTTTTGGATGTACAATTTTGCAAAAGAATAAATGTAAATATAGAGAAGACAGAAGATAGAAAACTGCGCAGAGCACCTGTATACATGAGATTTTTGCTTTCCCCTTTATACTGACCAACAGCAATAGAGAAAATACATTTCTATCTCAGAAGGATACCTAGTGATTGATAAAAATGCTGCCACATTATTTAAATATTTTCACAAAAGAGAATGTATATTATCGTTAACATTCTGTAAGAACTGTAACTGTCTACCACTCAAGTACTGTAGTTCCAAGGAAAAATGTTTGCATCTGGAAATATAAAACAAAAGTTCCCTAAATAACTTAACTTGGGCCATATGTAAAGCCCTGATCTCTGTCCAGCAACAAACACTTTTTAAATCAACAAGCAGACTGTATGAGCATTTCCAGTATGGATTTAAAGACTACCCCCATAAATTATAGGCAAAATAAGATTGTAAAAAAAATGTGGTTGTATCTACAAAATTAAGCCTACACTTTGGCTTTAGTCCAAATGCAAACTACTACCAACTGCCATAATAGATGAAGAACTACAGCATTCAGTAATAAAATCTACATCACGGTTTCCTTCAAAGTCAACCATCCATTGGGTGAATTTTGGTTTTTAAATATCCACATGCATTTAATCACTTCTAGTCGTGTAGATAGGAAGTGAAGGATATTCACACTGCTTAATTCAGTTGACCTTTACCCCTCAAAATGTGACTCATAGCAACTAACTCAAAAGCCTCTCCCCACCGACTAGGCCAAAGTTATAAATTTAGGGAGCAGAGATAGGTAAGGAAAATCAGATATTGCAAATATTCCTAAAATTCCATTATATGAAAAAAAGTCATTACACATCATTGAAACAACTGCAATAACTTGGTATGACTCTGATATAGTGTTCAAAAGGCAAAGTGAATGGGGAAACTGAGTAATTTTTTTTTAAACTTAATAAAAAATTTCTGAAGTTTCAAGAAGTTATTTTTAATAGATACATTATGCTAGGCACTTAATTTCAATTTAATTAATAATTACAAAATTCAATTAACATTAATTCTTTGGGCTGTAAATACTCTCAGGAACTAAGTTTATTTTGTACAGTACAATAGCAATTATGTATCTATGCTCAGAAAAGAAAGCAGAAAAACTTGTCTTCTAGTTGAAAGTACAGGAGAATTAAGGAGAAGTAGGACTGAATCATTCCAGCTGAAATATGACCCAAGGGACCACTCTCCCTACTCTCAGGAAAAATGCTAAAATGTCTTCCAGTATCAGATTCAATTATTACCAGTTTTAACATTATGTCTTAAAGATGACATCTCAATAGCACAATGTCATCATGATCACATTGTTTCATTATGAGTTCAGTAATGAGAGGAGAGCATGCTGGACGAACACCATACACGGAAGAGATTAAAACCAATTCCTACATCAATCCAAGTTTTCCTGAAGGCTTGCTATTGCATATTTCATGTTGATATAATGAATTTTCCATTTTGAATTGGCTCTCCCATTGACCCAAAAGACATAAAATATGGGGCCAAAGCTTAGGCTTTTTTGTATGTTTTTACTATGACACATACCGGCAAACTAATTTTCTTCCCTTAAAAACATTTGTTTGAATGAATGATCTAATAAACCCTATCATAAGAACAAACCTTATGATTGCCACTTCGTAATAAAAACTGGGATTCGATCTCTCCACTGTGATTTAAGTTTAGTTTTGCAAGTTAATCCAACTTAAATGAGTGAAAAGTGAATAAATACTGTCCTATATAAATTCTTTCAAAGTATGGGAATAATTTGACAGTCAGAACACTTAATTCTATTATAACCAGCTGAAGTCTTGCATACTATTACGTTTAAAAACAAGGCATTTTTTCTTTAGTACAAGTTATTAATGATTTTTATATCAATGTGTTTTTATTATATAGTCTAAAGACACTTCAACAACTCAGATAATTTTTAAAATGGCTCACTGTAACATCAAAACTAATCAAACAAATCATCACCAACTGTCTTAATTAGTTTGAGTACAAGCAATGAAGCAACGTAAGGAAAATACTAGGTGTTCATGTACAGAGTTCTCATTTGTTTATTTCTTGTCCCAAATGCTGCTTGAGAATCTGTGGCTAATTTTTGGCACTAGCTGCAATGCTTCCTCTGGCACTACTGCCTAGCCTCGACCCTGCATAAAGGTAATAAATCAGGAAAACTGAAGCAGAAGTTCAGCCCTCCTTTTACACAGTGCTGGGAATACAATCTTCAAAACCATTAAGTTAGTTTGCAAGTAAGAGACCAATTCAGCCAACGCACTTTTCAATTTTGTGTTGCTTTAGCACAGTGAATGATCTGCAAATTCAGTTCCACTAGCTAGCACACTGTGGTCACCTTATACTGTCCCCATTTTCTGATACACAGACCCTCAGGTTTTAGTTACCCAAGTTTTCTAGTATATAATCTAAAAACATCAGAAGTAACATACAGGAGCATTTTCTTTATATGTTTGTTTAGTTACACAAATGTTATGCAACAAATTAAAAAATATTTTTAGATTCCTAATGGAAAAAAGTTAAACTGCAGCCGTGGTTGACAGAACACATTTGTAAGTAAAAAGCATTGTAGGAATGTTGTAATGAACTCAAATCAACTCTAAGCAATTGAAAACTTATATGAGTACTTAAGAGAAATCTAAATATGTGAAATTATAAACACTTCAGGCACTCAATCTTAATTCTGCCCTTTAGTGAACATAAGCAAACCAAAAAAAGTATGTGATTTTAAAAGTTCATATTAATCTAATTTGGAACCATAAATACCAAAATACTTCAACATCAATCACACAGTCATTTCATATGACAACTCATGGCCATGAGGTTATTAGGTTAAGCTTCCTCTTGGTTTTTTTCCTTACCTTAGCTCCTTATAAGTGGAATGTAACCAGATTTCCTGTGCAACATTTACTGGTGCAGGTTACCTCCACCTCTGTACCTGTTTAGCTTTTTTTGACAATGTGGTGTCAAGCAAATCAATAGCAGCTTTGCACAGAATTTTTTCCCCCTACTATCTGCCTCACACTCTAACCTATAATGCAGTAGTTATCAATGCAGTAGCCTGCAAGGGACAATTAAAGGATCTCTCTTATCCCATTTTTTCTTGTGCAGGACACAAAAAAAGCCAAACAAATTTTTGCTTAGCAGTGTTGTACTGCAGTGGTAAGGAAAATTACGCCCAAAAGCCATTAGAATTTTGTTTTTTAGGGGGACTGGAAATCCATTACACTATGCCACATTTTAGTTTGAAAATCGTTTTGGGTCAGACCCCAAGGTTAAACTAATTCTCTTGTGCTATATTCTCTACTGCTTTTTCTGCTTCCAGGCTGTGTATCACCTGACCTGTCCAGAGATACTGCAAAGTAAAGTTACAGAGGAAATATCACCCCCCTCCCCCAGACTCATACATGTCTACACCAAAGGGCAGATTTTTCTTATTCCAGGACTATCTCACCTCTGGAGTGACATCTCGTGGTGCAAACCCTGTTCCTCCAGTTGTTAAAATCAAATTAAGCTCCTTTTCATCACACCAATCTATCAGCGTCTCCTGAAAGAGAACATGAATCCTGTCAGATCTAACAAGTAATACGTGGGATACAGTTATCTCAGAAAACACCTGAAGACTTGAAATGTCTTAAAAACAGAGATGCACACAATAAATACAGGGAATTGTAAAATCACTCATAGCTTTTTTAACAAAGATTTTAAAACACTATTTATAACCAACATATAACAGAATAATTCAAGTATCCATCATAGTATTTTTAGAAATGGAAACTGAAATTCTGTTCTCCATCTCTTGACCTGAAACGGAAAACAAGAATTCACAGTTATTCATTTATACCACTGTTTATTTTGAGATATAAATATAATACTTTGACACATATTAATAGAGTATGCCCATTTCAGTAACTTTGGTTTCTGCACTCCACTTTTTAATTGCCTGAAAAAAGCAAGAACCACATATTTGTAAGCTTATCTACTAAAAGATGCAATAATACACTTCACACAGCAACACAAAAGATTATCTATAATCATCTTTTCTACATTCCCTATAACATCTCAGTAGGACTGTGTATACCAATTCCAAGGCTGGACTAAGAAAGCTTAATAAATCTGTCATGTAAATTCAGTGACCTACAATACTGGGCAACTCATGATACTAGAGAAGTGTTCAATTTGATTTGCATTCATTTTTCAAGTAACATTTTAAACTAGTTTTCAAACTGTGACAAAAATTTGACATAAGCAGAAAATTTATTTAGTCTCAATATGATTATATCACTTATCCTTCACACTCTGCTGTGGGCTAGCACAACAACAGAATGTCTGCTTGGAGCTCACAATCAGCTGTGTTACATGAAGTACACTCATGTATTACACAGTAAAGTAACCATCTGCAGAAATCAGTCAGATCAATTACTTAGCTATCCTTATTCTAGCAAAGAAACCTCATTATCTGAAAAAGTTTAGGGCACATTTATGTTTCTGGAGTATTATATTGAGGAGGAATGAACTGTTTTGGTGACTGTTGGCTAGAAGCTTATTATTTACCATAAAATTAGAGCTGAGCAATATACTGATTAAAGAAAGCTTAAAATATTGTTGATGGTCATAAAACTGTCCAGAACATTTTAAAAAGTACTACCAATTTAGACTAATTCTCAGGTGTATGTTCTGCAGGCTTAGCACTGCTATGTAACTTCCAGTTAAGAGAAAGCTCATATACAGCCTCTTCCAAATTGCAGGTAGAATAAACTTGTGTCTGCCTGCAAGTCCCATCATGCAAATGTACCCAAGGATCACTTAAGTGGCAAAGCCAAAGGTTCTGCTTTTATTTCTCCTTTCTTTACTCATTTCTTCCCCTTCCCCTTTTGTGTTATCTCTTGTCTTTATTAAAATCATATTCATCTTTTTACTCTATCCCTTTGGAGGATGGCACTCTACTTATTGGGGCTGTAAATTACCAGAAGTTTCTGGTTATACAGACATTTCGAATAAGCTCAAGAAAACAACACACATACTGTCTCAGATCCGTACATAGATGAACTATTAAGTTTGACTTAACATTTTGAAAAAATATGAATTACGGTAGTAAAAAGTATTTTAAGTCTTAAAAATGTTTGCTTCAATAACATAGATATGCATCAGAAAAATTATTTTAGAGGTGGCACCTCTATTTTATCATGTAGAAACATATTTATCTTGACTTTGAACAGCTACAAATTTCAGAGAATACTTGAGAGAAGTTCAGTGTAAAAATGGTGTGTGGCAAAGTTAGAGTTAATATTGTATATATTTTAAAAATTATTACATCAAGAAAAATTTGTCCGTATAAAACAAGAGGGAGAGATTTTGTGGGTTTTTTTCTAATGAAGCATTTATCTTCAGATAAAATAAACCCCACCAAACTCCAACTGGTTTTATAGAGAAAAAAAATCCTTCCTCTGTTCTCATTTTGCTACAGTTCAATAATACTTCAGTTAACAGGGAAAAAATGTCATGTGATAGCCTAGAAAAACATAAAGAAATCAGTATACACCCTAACGCTTCAAATAAACTGAGCAATAATTAAATGCCTATTACTGCTATTCCATCAGTATATTTAGGCAGACATATAATTCTCTATCAAGTTCTAGTTATAGTAAAGGAACATAAGCTTTCAGTAAGAAGACCTTTAACTATGAGGCAGTAAGTTTGGGTTTCATTATATTTTAGAAGTGTAAATTCTACCACTTAGACCTTTCAAACCCATGGAAAAATATCTGAGACTGATATTCAGCTTATTTACTTTCTCTCTATCCCACAAAACTCTATACCATAAAACTCACTGACATTTTAAGTATCTAAAAAAACGAAGCACCACCCTGATCAGCTGAGGACAAAAGGCTACTCATATTCACTTTGCTGCTGCCAGCAGCCCAGCTAGATTCTCCACTGGCTTTGCACAGAACTGAATTTTCTGTGTCTTCAAATGAGAATTCCTCTAGGCCTAGGACCTAATATTTGGCTTTACTGACTTTACTGGCAAATTTATTATATAACATTTCAACTAGAGAAAATTTCATTAAATAATTTTTGTGCATCTTTCTCCTCTTGTATTGTTTCATTGCTGATAAGCTTTCAAGATAAAATGAGACTAGTTCAACAGGTTATGTAAATCACTGTCATTCCATTCAAATCAACAGAATTATGCTGATGGATACAAAATACATTATCTGGCTCTGAAAACAGTACTCTAAAATTACTACCAAATTTTAAAAAGCCAGAACAAAACTACAGACCTGCAGAAAAAAAACCCAACCAACCAACAAATAGCTTGATATTTTTAACAATTAATATCCTAAAATAGGCTTTATCAGTTATTTTCTAGTGTCAAGGTAGACAAGGAGAAATGAAGTCATTACAGTCAGTTCCTCTAGACACATTTTTACTTCAAAAGCACTCAACTGTGATTCTAACCTGTTCAGATTTCACTGAAGTCCTAGAACAATTACATTATGTTTTTCTGCTGCACAGAAATAAAATGTCAGCCCAGTTGTCTCTTTACGTTTTGGATTAGATCTGGTGCCCTGTCCTCTCTACTTATTTATTTGTATTTTCTCTTTTAAATACATATAAATTTAGCTCATTTAAATATGAAATCCTTGGGTCTAACATAAAATTTATTTCCATCTGTTGCTCCAAAGAGCTCGTTTCAGTCAGCTCCCTCTCTCTCCCAACTTGAAACTACTTGTTGGACTTCCTATGCACTGCCCAATCTTGAAATTTTTTCAGTTGTAACACTGCTCATAAAAACTTTGCTTAAGATCTGTTTGAATTTTCTCATGACCAGTGCTGGTTTCACCAGTGCAGAAAAATCTTGCCTCATTCATTCTCTTAGTTCTTAGTCTTTCATATATAAATTCATTGATTTTAAGGCCAATAAAGATCATTAACTCAGGGAAATAATTCCTACAGTGTGTGGCACAGTGCAGAGACCCTATGTTTACTGCAGATACATACTTGCAAATTCATACAGGCACCTTCGCATTAAGATACACTAAGTCCAAAACCTGTACAGATGTATTCTATTGGCACTGCACCTAAGCAATGCTACCTGACATTTCAGTCAGTGAATGGCTAACACTAACAGATCTATTTCCTTCTGTGGAGGTAATTTAAACATCTCAATGTTCGAGATGCGAAACTGCCATTAGTCTAAGTTGTAATGGGCAAGTCACAGAATTTTGGTCAGTTCCTCCTGTATTTAAAACAAATTCTAGAACTCAAGCATCTCTTCACATAACCACCCAGCCTTGATATGAAGGATTCAAGACAGAGAAAATACATCATAATTTAATTTGGTAGGGTTTTCCAGCAGCTATTTATGTTTAGCATTAAGTGGTGTGTTTCTAGTAACTGTTTCTTACTAAACATTTGTCCTGGTTTCAGCTGGGATAGAGTTAACTGTCTTCCTAGTAGCTGGTACAGTGCTATGTTTTGAGTTCAGTATGTGAAGAATGTTGATAACACTGATGTTTTCAGTTGTTGCTAAGTAGTGTTTAGTCTAAAGTCAAGGATTTTCCAGCTTCTCATGCCCAGCCAGCGAGAAAGCTGAAGGGGAACGAGAAGTTGGCACAGGACACAGCCAGGGCAGCTGACCCAAACTGGCCAACAGTGTATTCCATACCATGGGACGTCCCATCTAGTTTAGGAACCGGGGGGAGTGGGGGCAGGGAATCGCCACTCGGGGACTGGCTGGGTGTCGATCAGTGGGTGGTGAGCAATTGCCCTGCGCATCATTTGTACATTCCAATCCTTTTATTATTGCTGTTGTCATTTTATTAGTGATATCATTATCATTATTAGTTTCTTCTTTTCTGTTCTATTAAACTGTTCTTATCTCAACCCACGAATTTTACTTCTTTTCCCGATTTTCTCCCCCATCCCAATGGGGGGGGGGGGGGGGGGGGGGGGGGGCGGGGGGGGGGGG